ACTCTTGGTTGAACCCATTCCAAGTACACACCTTCACTGACTTGATCGATTTTACCCTTGACTAGACCTAATGACAATGCTTTCATTACCAACATTTCAATCTGTTCTAATGGCAATTGTGTCTCACGTGCAATCTCTTGAAATGATAGACATCTGTTTTTAGCTTGTCGTTTGAATGTCATTTCCATCAAACAAAGCAGGGAAATTTTTTGTCTGAGTTTATGTTCTTGAACTGCTATATCAGGTATGGAAGCCCACTGTGGCTTCATTTTGTCAAATTTTGTGATGTCTCCAGTGTTGAACGCATTTAACAGTTCTACTAACCAATAATTTGTTGTGTTGTTTAACGATTGTAAAATGGGATGCATGAGCAGTTCACCCAAATTATAGATGTCATCACTTAGCAACGCAGCAAGTCCCAATAAAAATGCGTTTCTTATTTGATCTGGTTGGCTAATTGTAGACAAGTCAATTGAACCCAAATACTTCAAACAAGTGCGGTAGTATTCAGAGTGCTTTCCTTGAATACGATACAGATTACTGGCCAACAAATAATACTGACTATGCACAGGGGATATTTCATCCAGATCACTCAACAATTTATCAACATCAGTAATAACGACCAAGCAGTCTTGTTGATTTTTCAATTTATCCAAAAGTATTTCACCTTTTAGAACCTTAGCAAAAATTAAAGCTTCAACTTTGTCTTTAACTTTCGGTTCTAGAATTTCTAAAAATACAACTGCTTCTTTTGGTTCCTTGATAAATGGAATGACATACGAAACAATTTCAACCAAAGCAAAAGAATTTATTTTGCTTTCTATTGGTTGAATAAATGTATTGTAGAAATTCAACAAGTCGACTTTTTTTTGAATGTTTGTATCCTTAACATAGGCCAAAAGTTTTAAAGTCAATTGATGCCATAATTTTTTGGTTTGTAATTCTTCCAATTCCGACATTTCAACTTCAGGTTGTGCCATGTTTGAGCTATGAAAAAAATAAAATATAGATTAAACAATTTTTCTTTTTAAGTACAATAATATTGTTACATATAATATAAATTATAATTAAAATATTGTAATTATTTTTTAGAACTAGAACCTAATTTTCCATTCAAAGATATTACAATTCGTAGAGGAGTAGACATGCAAGACCACTATGAACTACAATCTGAAATTGGACGGTAAGAATTTCTATACATTTTCACGGGTTTTATTATACATGATTAAAGAGCCAGATCATTAAATAATATTAACTTTAATTTTTGCACTATCAAAATAATGCATAGATCACATATAATATATTAATGCAGCTATAATAATAACTTGTATAAAAGTTAATAAAAACTTAATACATTGACATAAGGTATACACATTTAATACTTCTGCCTAATATATCTCTATTATTACCTAACTAATATTTCAAACAAGTACCTGTAGGCTGTAACATTAATTATAAATTGTCCATACGAATAGTGTTAAAATGATAAATTATAAAACCGTAGGTTGTGCACAAAGTAAATTATTATTTACTGGCACTAGTAGAGTAAGCCCAAATATTCCAACTATGTGATAATGACCATCACAACCGTGTTAGCGGGCTTTAAGCTATTTATAAAATATATAGCTTTTAATGCCAACTGTCTAAAAACAACTTAAGCTCTATGGTAATACTGTTGTGAAAATCCTTTCAAAAGATAATTACTTCTGATTTCATACCATATTATTTTATATAAAATTATAATAACTATTTAATTTAAAATAAACATTTAATAGGTACAAATATTCTAGGATAAATGTACATCAAATTATTTAAATTATACATGGTAGGTGGTATGACCCACCTACCATGTATATTAATTAAGCAATTTTAAAAACAAGTTTATTTTAAACATTATTCATTTTTAATACTAACATATTGCTATTTATTGTAAACATTTAAAATTTATAATAACAAAAATATTTTGGCATAAGCTGTAAATAAACATTAATATTATAAACAAATTAATAGGTTCATTTTTTTATTTTAAGTACACAAATAACTTAAATATACAATATATTTGAAGAAAAAAACAGTTAATGAATTTGTTATAAGGGAGATTATTATAAAAGTATTAGCATTAATATTTTAATAAAGTTCAAATAAAAAAATTCTGAGTCAGAATAGTATTTCAAGATAGAGAAAATATTTACCTATTCAGCTACAGCTGTAGTTAATTTTTTGAATATGAACACTAATACTAGTAAGTACATAGGTATTAAATGAGATGATAAAATATCATATTTAAAATGATATGCATTTTTTTTTTTTGTTTAAATTGTTATATTTTAATCAATAAAAAATCTACTAAGTACCAGGTACATTATTGGTTGTCTATCTCTTAAAATGACAAGTATTATTTATTTGGTTAAATAAAATATTAAGTATAAATCCCATCTAAATATGTATGTTTATTTAAAATATTATGATTTATGATAGTTAAATGATTTTCATTTCACATAAAATACTAATGTTTAGTCTTTTTTAAGTTTGGAAATTATAAAACAAAATATAAAAATGTACACATTAACACATTATATTTTATACTAAATCCATACATAATTTTAAATATTTTTAAATTAATTAGCAAATACAAATTGTAACGAATAAAATTAACGGACAGATAGATACTGTAATGGGCTGTGACTACGTACATATTAATAATAGTAATAATATATAAAATAATATATTATATTATGCTGTATTAAGTATAATACGCCTATAATATAATATATTACATTCAATAACAGATATAAATGCTGCAGGGGGCACGTAACCCGATAATAGTAATAATATAAGCGTCCGGGCAGCCACATCGATAATAGCACAGAACTAATTAATGGTACAGCGCGAACCCTGCTAGGTATACGCGCACATTATCCATATTCTAGGAAAGACGAAAAAGCCGTAAACAACAAAAATAGATAACTTTGAAAACATAATCCCCAATTAACATTATTTCGTAGAGGACACCGAAATGACGTCAGGTGTACGCGGCTATGTACCATTTTTATACTAAAAATGCCATAGGAGGGATTTAATAGGAATACCGACGAAATACGTCGATGGACGAATGTCCATCAGACGAACACCAGCCGAGAAGACGAGCACCAACGGAGCAGCCACGAAGTCGATACCAAGTCACATCCCGTTTACCACAATTTTATAATTTAATTATTGGACTTAGTCTATTTTATGTGTTAAATAAATACAACTGAACTATCATTACAAAATCAACTTGTTATTTAATTCAAAATACCATCAATATTGAGTTGAAGTGGTTGGTACGTTACAATACTAAGATACATAATACATGCATTTATTATTCTATAATGTTGAGGAAAATAATTTTTATTTTCCAAAATATCCATATTTCCAATCATTGATTCATTAACTTTTAGCTTCAAAACATAGGATGAACAACAAAAATAAACATTTTTGTCGAGTCATTGTGACATTGTATCGTAATAATTAACGATGGATTTTTGCGTACCGATTACCTAGGTACAGCCTTAAAAATATAGTTTCAAACAAACTTGGTGTTATTAAATAGTTGGCAAATAACAATAGACAATACTTACATAATAATGTCAATAAAAAGACAAGAGCGTATTGAGTTCGAAGACGAAATTTGATGTAAGTTTGTTGTGCAGTAGTGCTTCAAAGTATACGAAATAGGTACGAAACTACTAAATAATAATATCACAAAACAAAACATTGATAACAAAATCCGCGATTCACGATTCCGGCATTACTTTCGTCAAGAAAGGAGGAGACTATTACAGTGACGCCAACTGTTATGGAACAATATTTCATACCAGAGTTGAGATGTTTAAAACACTTTGTTTTAAACCAGTGGTTCTTAACCGGTGTTCCGCGGAACACAGGTGTTCCGTGGACTTCGTATAAGTGTTCCGCCAAAATTTTAAAATCAGTGAAAAAAAAAAATTCTAAATTCTTTCAAAATAGAATCATTTTAGGTTTTGTTGGTTTATTTTTGTACACAAAAACGTTATCGTTAACTTTCGAATAATATAATGTGTCAGTATACTATACAGCGTGATTCTTTTATCAAACAACACTCATTATTTCAAAAAGTTTAAATTTTTTTGAAAATATTTTTTTACATAGTTTCAAGTCGCTTATAAACAACGTTTTTATTAAAAAAGTATATTTTTAAATATTTTTTATCCTTATAGTTTTTTAAGTTTTTTACTTTTTTGAATAACAACATAGGGTTTTAATTTTATATTCCAAAGCAGAATATTTTTCTTAGTATTTTGATACATGAAAATCGAATTTGGGTTGAGTAGTTTATGAGTTATAAGTATTTAAAGTTTAGACGAGCGGAGTGGAGTAGTTCGGGGTTACCCCGCGAAATGTTTGTCCACTTCACCGCTCGTCTAAACTTTAATTACTTATAACTCATAAACTACTCGCCCCAAATTCAATTTTCATGTATCAAAATACTAAGAAAAATATTCTACTTTAGAATATAAAATTAAAACCCTATGTTGTCATTCAAAAAAGTAAAAAACTTAAAAAATTATAAGGATAAAAAATAATTAAAAATATAATTTTTTAATAAAAACGTTGTTTTATAAGCAACTTGAAACTATGTAAAAAAATATCTTCAAAAAAATTTACACTTTTTGAAATAATGAGTTTTGTTTGATAAAAGAATCACCCAGTATAATATAATGTTAATATACATTATTATTATTATATTATACGATAATCTCCACCATACTGCGATAACATACGTATAGATATTGACAATTTTATTTTCTGCACTAATAAAAGTTATAAAATACATTAGCATTAGTACGTTGCCCACGGTTATCAACGTTAGACGCGTGTACAACTTCATAAATAAGGATTCTGTTATTTTTTTAAGTAAGTACAATTTGAAATTTATTTAGTTAATTAATTTAATTTGTAACGACCATTTTAATAACAAAATGGACAAATTTCTTAAACGGAAACATGATTCTGGTACTGATAATGCAAGTACAAATACAATTAATGTCAATGATGATACTTTCAATGATGAGAATAAAATAAAAAAGGTCAATAGACAATATTGCAACGATTATTTAAATTTTGGGTTCACTTATGTTGACGAAAATGATTGTCAAATTTCCCTTTGTGCGGTTTGTGGGGAAAAGTTGTCTAATAGCGCAATGGCGCCAGCGAAATTAAAACGGTATTTTTCATCTAAGCACGCCAATCTCCATTCTCCAGTCTAAAGAAAAAAATTATTTTGAAAGGTTGTTGAATAATCAAATGAATCAAAGAAAACATTTAAAAAAAATTGTAACAATATCTGATAAAGCACTAATCGCATCTTATAAAGTTGCCGAAATAATTGCAAAACAGTTAAAACCACACATCCATTTTCTACCATCAACACGTCAAGTTATGAATTTACGTTATTAGAAGAGGAAGAATTCATAACGCTAACAACAGATCGAACTCTAAAAATAAAATTTTCCGAAATAACAGTAGAAGAATTTTGGATTTCAGTTCAAACCGAATTTAAAAAAATTTCTGAAAAAGCAATTTCAATATTATTACAATTTTCAACCTCATACTTATGTGAGCTTGGATTTTCAACACTGACGAATATCAAAACAAAGAAACGAGAAAGGCTGACAAATATTGAAGAGGAAATGAGAGTAGCAATATCGTACATACGGCCAGATATTGAAAATATCTGTAAAAATCATCAGGCACAAATATCTCATACAAAGTATTCGATTTCAAATTTTTAAATTTTTTTTAACTCTTTTTATTATTTTATTATTTTTTAGTGACTAACACTAACATGTATGGCATGCAAACAATTTTATGCTATACATTCATTGTTTAATATATTAAAAAATTAAAAATGTATGTACTACTATTTTATTTTACGGTTATGTTCCGCGAAAATCTTGTAAAATGTTAAGTGTTCCGTCATTCGAAAAAGGTTAAGAACCACTGTTTTAAACACTTGTTTAAAACATGTTTTAGACATCTAAATTGATCAAACATGGTTTTGTTTAAAACGTTTAAAAAAAATGATTTAAACAACATAAAAAAAACAGTTTAAAACAGAAAATCATCATTTATGTGCATATAACTTATTATTTGTAAGTTCATACTGGCAACTCCTATTTATTATTATTTTTTATTTCATAAACAAATTAAAAATTTATAAAATGTATAATGATAATTTTACTTATTTAAATTACTAACACTTCAATGGTTATATAATATATTACTTCTGTAGTTCTGTAGGTAATATATTTATTAATTATTTATTTATTTGTTTAAATTACATATTATCATATCATATTATTATTTATTAAAAAACCCGCCAAAATTGAAAATAGTAAATACAGTAATCAATATTCTGTATCACGATGTAGATAACAGATCAGTTCTTTATCATCAATCATTATCAAAATATTCAAAAACGATTTTTAAATGTAAAACCGATAGCCGTGGTTTAATTACACGTCAAGTTATAAAAAAAATTATGATATTAAATTATTAAATAAATGATTTTTTTTAAAAATAAATTACATATTTTGTTTTAAACTCGATTAAATCATGTTTTAAAAATGTTTAAAACAGCTGAAAAAATCATTTTAAAAAACATGTTTTAAACGATTAAAACAATTTTTTTGATTTTTTTAAAAAAAATCATGTTTTTAATCAACTCTGTAATTCATACACAATATTATTGTATTATATAATATTATGCGCGTCTTCAGTTCTTGTTCGTAAAATAAACGGCTACAATCGTCGCTTGTATATTTAAACCATGGCTATAATATGCCTATATAGTTGTATTATAGTGCAGTCAGATCGTCCAAAATGACTACACGCATAGCTAATAAATATACGTAGCAACTGGCAGAGCCCTATACTTACGATTTTTGGGATCCGGGGCTAATTTGTTGTTGGGGCCCCTTAATGACCCTAACTTAAATAATAAATACATTTTTTTTTGCTATTCTGTTTTTTTAATATTCGATTTAATTTTAAGATTATAAATAAATTATACAATAAGTCTATAAGTCTATTATAAGTAATTGTATTACTTTGTGTTGATTGATATAAATAAATCGTATATGACTGTATTACAAATTGAAATATATGCTGTACGTTCATTAAAACATTGTGTATTTGTTTTTCTTTTAAAAGGGGGGAAGTTCGGTACCGTGTTCAAATGTCGAGAAAAAGCTACGAGTCTTATGTTGGCTGCTAAGTTCGTCGGTATTCTTCATAAACAAGATCGCCGAAATGTGGAAAGAGAAGTAGAAATAATGTGTGAACTTCAACATCCCAGATTGATACAACTCTACGACGCTTTTGAAGCGAACAATTCAATGTGCTTCATTTTAGAACTGTAATTGAATTATTTGATTATTATACTGTTTACTTGTTCAATGCAATTTGTTGTAGAGTTCAAATACCTATTATACCGTGGTTGATACAATTAATGCAATATTTCAAAAATAATTAACGTAGTGTTTGCAAATGTTTTTTTTTACATAATCTTGGATTTAAAAACAATTTTATTTAAATTTATTTTTTTTCTAAAAAAATATATATTAGATTTTGAGCGGAGCGATGGCCGATGAATGTATTGATTTTATAACAATGTGTGTTTTTAGGGTTCCGTACGGTAAAACGAATTTTTGTACTTCTGAGTGTTCGAAAAGAAGTCGAAATAATGCTTCGATTTTAAACTTTCATATCTTTTCTGGTGGGAAAGGGAATCTAGTATAGGTCGAAATTTAAAATCCTCAGTAGTTTTCAAAAGCGACTGGATTTTGGTTTTTAATGTTACTTTAAAAAAATTACCGTAGATTCACAATATATTCAATGTATGTTTAAATAAATAATTTCTATACACTAAAAAATTATCAAAATATTTATACTCTTGTATACATCTGAAATTATCGATTTTGATTTGTTTTTTTAAACTAATATCGATACAACAATTTTCGCTCAATAAACAAACTTTAAAATGTAATTCAAGATTCATTACAAGTTTTTGTAAGTGGAAATTAAAAAAAAAGTTGAGCGTAATTCCACAATAATTTTATGAACGTTTGAAGCTAGAATTTTAACGAAATTCGTAAAAATCACGAAATGCACTAAAATGAGCAAATTATTATGAGTTAGAAATTCTTAAAAAGTTTTATTTTCATATCTTAGATTTTAAAATGTAATGCAATATTCAAGTTTTATTGCCATTATCAAAAAAAATTGTCTACCTGAAAATCACATTACATTTTTTTGAACTTTTGAAGATTTAATTTTAACAACATTGGATATTCACTCGATTTCTCATAAAGATATTAATTGTAACGATATAAGTTTAAATATATTAAAATACATATAGGCACGATATATTTTGTATAAGCATTTAAAGTTCAAATGTTGACAAAATTTATCAAATTGAAAATGTTAAGTTATTTTACAGTTAAAAATGTATAAAATGTTCAATTTTTATAGTAAGGGTTAAAAATTTAAAACAAGGTTCCACGTAAATAGTATTTATATTGTAGCTGTAAAATCTAAAAAATATATAAACGCAATTTTTTTTGATAGTTTTTAAGTTCAAATTCTGACGACATTACTAAACTAAAAATAACCATTTTAGTTTTGTGTTTATTATTATTTAAAAATATTACTAAAAGAATAAGATAATATGCAAATAATATTAATTTAACTAATCCTCTACCGTATTAATAATAACAATATAAATATAATATAAAATATCCTCGGTTGACAAATCGTCTCAGCTCAGAATCGTTTTGCGGATACATTCATATGAGGTATATCATTGAAGTCAAAACTAACACCATCGATTACCGTCACCCACTTGTAACTGTACAGTAGAGCGTCACCTACTTTTTACGATTTATTATCATTTTCATTTTTAAAATGTTTACTCTTGAATGACAACATACACTTTTAATTTGCTATTCTGAAGTAAGAATTTTTATTATAGATCGAAATACTCCGAAAAATATTTTTGAATATGGCATTAAAAATGTATACGTTATCATTCAAAAGTGTAAGAAATTTAAAATGATAACGATAAAAAATAGTTGTTATGTCATAACAAACCGTAACAGTCGTATAATAACAATTCATTTATACATTGCTTAGTTAGGTCTCAGGTGTACATTTTGTTCATTATTAATATTTTTTGAGATATTTATATTTTTAGATAGGTACTTTCTGATATTTTTTTGTCCATCGCGCATCAGTATCGTGCACACAGACACAAATAAAATAAATGAAAAAAAAACACATTTTAGATTTTCATTAGAGAATTTATAAATAAATATTAAAATGTCGGTTAATATATTATCTTAATATTAACATGTGGCTGTGCACAATGCGTTGGCTGCTACCAGTCGCGGAATGCGACTGAGAGTAAGTAATGCCTTCTGCTTCTAGTCTCCGGATGGGTGACCACCCGCGTTCGTAGTAGTAAAAACATACATACACGTGTTTGCTTACCTACCATAACAACCGTAATACAACACCCTACCGTACCAACCTAACCTAACCATAGTTCATTATTCCTTACAACAGCTAATGGCCGGGCTTAAGTTCAATAAAAAAAATAATAATAATAATATTAACATTGTAAAGAATTATTTAGTTATTGTAGATGCAATTTATGAAATAATACCGAATCATGACCAATTACCTAAGTATATTATTATTTTTATTATAGATAATATACTATTCAGATAAACATGACATCAATGGATACTATGTTATGAAAAAATACTTGGTTTTACTTCAACTCGACATCAAGATACTCAGCATCAGATTCGTGTTACACTTTAGGTCTAATATATTTCAATTCTAAGTACAACATATCCATAAGAGGTTTAGATAGTGACAGATTTATAATTTTGGATCCTGTAAAGAGTTTTTTTGTGCTCTTTAAAATATCAAAAGGTGGTAAAAATAGATTTGAATAGACTTCATATTTTGATTATGATCAACAAATCTTATAATTTAATTTAATAAAATACAAACAGTTTAAAAAAAAACTTGACCTAACAATGAACCAACGGTATTCACTTTCCAATCAAACAAGATACTGAAGTTGAAAATCGAAGCATTATTTCGACTACTTATCGTGTACACAGACACAAAAATTAAAAATTAAAAAAAAAAACACAAATCATTGTAAAATAGGTGGGTAACCCTGGCACCACAATGTTCGAATTTTTTATTTTTTTTTAACAATTGTACTAAAATTCGTACCAATTTGTACCAACAATTTAAGAATTTGTACCTAAATATTTCCAATAGAAAAGTCAAATTTTCCGCTGGGGTGCCAGGGTAACTTTACCCCAGCACCACCATAACTGAATAATGCATTTTATAAAAATTTTTTTTTTCTATTAATTGTATTATAATTTGTACCGATTAGTTTCACCATTTTCAGAATTTGTACCTAAATACTTCCCCTAGGAAAAATCAATTTTGCAGATGGGGTGCCAGGCTAACGTTACTCCAGCACCACCATAACTGAATAATGCATTTTATAAATATTTTTGTTTTTTTATATTTTATATGTACCTATGCATACGGCATAGTTATCTATACGTCTTGCGTTTTATAATATATTTATGGATTTTTTTTATATTTTCATTTTAATATCACGTATTTAACTCTTATATAGGTATATAATATACTACCACTTATTTAATGTCTTATATATTATATTATTATTTAAATTATTAGTAATATTATAATTGCATATTTATTGCGCGTTACTGTGTTATGACTTATGTATATGCATGTGTGTATGGATATAGTGCTTTGTGTACCTACTGTCCAGTCTTGTTCAGTATTCAACATAGGCGTGTCTACGGTGGCCGCCTAGAGAGTCTGGGCTGCCCCTGCAATTTTTGAAAAGTGAAGGTCAACCGAGTTTTAAATCAGAAGGGTCACAACATTTATTTATTTTTCAAAACTTGATTTTTTTGTGTGTATCGTTATAATTACCATTTATTTACAAAGATATGATCAACAAAATTGGGTAGATAATATCTTTATTTAACATGTATTGTAAAATTGTTTTCCTGACTTCGGAAATCGGAAAAACCTACTAAAAAGACTTGAGACAGACGACGGTGGTACGGAATACGCATCTAGGTATTATTGATATTATTGTTGTATTATACTTTTTGATTTGTAGCTAGGTGGTGTAATCCAAGGCTGTAGGTGAATAATATTTCTGAAGTTACTATAGATTATTATTGTAAATAGATAATTTAGACTTTTTAAATTATACAAATATTTCATAATGAAATGGGGGGGAGGCTTACAAATACGGCTTTTTGTGTATAGGGCTTTTTTCGGTTCACTAATATTGTTCTATGCTAATAAGGTAGCGCCGATCATTAGCTAGGCTGCCCCTGCCGAGATGAAGTCTAGTCACGCCTATGGTATTCAAATACTTTTTGACCAATGTATTTTAAATACTTAAAAGTACTTTTTATTTGTATTTTTATTCTAGAATACTAAATACCTACTTTTATAATATATAATATTATATATGTGTATTATATACATATATGATTAGGTACGGAAGTTAATTATAGTAAATTTAGTTCAATACCTATAGCTGCCTACATATAGGTACACCAATAGTAGGTTTATAATATTGATAAATTGATGGAGGGACACTAACCAACACAGTGTATTTTTATTAGAAATATTTAGAACATAATATGTTTTAACTTTTCACATACCTACCTATAATAATGCCATATTAACATTAAAGAAACTCAGTAGCGTGTATCATAAAAAAAGTTGGTGTTGCTGAAATAATTTTAGGTGACCTACCCCTCATAATACTGTTATACCGACCTATAAAATTTCCTATTTTTTTCTATCAATACCCACCCACCCATATTTAAGGTGTTGCCTGAGCAACACTTGAACCCCATGTTACACGCCACTGAAAGAAAGTGTCGCTCTAAATGTACCTACCTACTATAGTGTGAAGGTAAATAGTATATATATATATGTTTAAGAGCTTATGGTATTTAGTTTGGATACCTAGCTTTTATAGACACACCATAAGATTATTGTATTGGTTTAAAAGTACCTAGGTGTACTTTATCCGGAGTGACGTATTTAGACATACCCGCGGAAAAATAGATTTTTCCGAGGGAAATAATTGGGTACAAATTCTGAAAATGGTTTTACAATACGGTACAAATTTAAGTACAATTAATGGAAAAAAAACTTTTTAATAAAAACTAAAATGCATTATTCAGTTATGGCGGTGCTGGGGTATAATGTTACCCTGGAACCCCATCTGGAAAATTGATTTTTCCTAGGGGAAGTATTTAGGTACAAA